TAAAATTAAGTATGTATAATTAACAGCTATAAGGGACATTTTCAAAGCTGAGTGAGCTACAGTCACCCTTCCTCTCCCACACTGGGAGCCTGCAAAACACTGCTAGGAAAAAATGAGATCCAAGAACGAAGCCTCGGTATTAGTGCCATGTGCAAAGAAAAGTCCTAATAATTTAAGTTATTCCCACAAAGAGGCACTGATCTGCCCGTGCATAACTGGGAAGCTATTGAGGAATTAGTGAAACCATATGGGAGGTTCTGTTCAGAGGAAGAAAATCACCTGCACAAATATAGTAACAACTGCTGAGCAGCTGGTCTGTAGATAAGGATTTGGGGATAGAGAGGATCACAGACTGAGCACAAATTATAAACATCGAGTCGTCATAAACAAGGTACCTTTTTTCAGTGACAGGAACACAAATTGGAGAGAACGGAAGAAACCCTCATGGTCTGCTCAGTTTTGGTCAAGCCTGTAGTAAAGCCCATTTTGGGGTAAGGCTTGCCAAGGAGAACCCCGGACACAAGTACAAGAAAGGCCAGAGGGTTAATAAAGTGAGCTACAAGGGACGAGTGAGCTAATTGAGGTTGCTCAGTGTAAACAAATTAAAAAGAGACGAGAAGATTGAGATATAAGGGTCCTTAAATCTAGTAATGGTTTCTGCAGAACAACAGAAAAAAATATCCTCCACCTCTGTGGTAAGAAGGTGTAAAGGACTCAAAGTGCAACAAGAGACGTTTACTTAAGTTGGAAGAAGCTTTCTAAGTGGTAAATACAGCACTAATCTAAGGAAGTCTCCTTGCCTCCTGTATTAGAGGGTAAATGAAAAAGGCCTCACAGGAATTATCCAGCAATAACGATGATGCATTGAGGCAAAGGGTCAAGATGATCTTCTGGAACCTCTCAGGCCTCTTTTCCTATGAAGACAGTGAAATACTGAAAGCTTTGCAGCAATACCAGAAGCTAAAAAATTAATCTGATCTTTTGCACTATGAGGTCTTGCCAAATTGAGTCCTTCCGGCCTTGCTACTGTTATACAACCTCTTTGAGGAGTATTACTCAGATTTATAGCAAAAAAATAATAATAATAAAAAAACAACATTGAAAGCCCATTAAGACAGCAGAATTCAAGCATTTGTAAGTTAAAGACTGACAGAATAAGGTACTATTTTTAGTGTTAATAGTTCTCTGTAGTTTGGGATAAAGTTCCTTCAAATACAGTTGATCAGCCCTATGCAAATGCTCTTAAGACACACAAAACCTGCTCAGCATCTGCCTCCCAGACTACTGCCAGTCATGAAGCTATCAGTAGCTTTTTTGCTAGAGCTCACTGTTGTGGGTTTTGTTTTGCACCTCTTTCCCAAGACATTTCTTCTGTTGCCCTGCTGCTAACCACAGCCCCCAGGGTTTGCCCCTCTTGACTTGTCTAAGGAATACGCACAGAATTATTCACTTTACAAAGAGCGATGACAACACCTTAAACATTTCAAATCATGTTTAACAGATTTTTGGCCCAGAATATTTAGATGAAGAGCATTAACTTGTCAGCAGTGATGATTTTGATCCTTGTTTTCAAGATCAGTGCTGGATAATGCAGAACCGTGTATCACCCCAAAGCAGGGCCTTCTCAGGAGATGATGTGTGGCGTACCATGTATGCTTTATGAATTACGCCAGAAAGCTGTCCCTAAGTGACAGCCAAAAATTATACAACCTTCACCAAAGGGGCATATAAAAGTTCGCCAATGTCCTAATATTCCAACTAAACCAAACCATCAGCTTTGTATTGCAGAAGATTTTGCTCATCCAGGGAAAATAAGCACCACCTTTGTAAATACAGGCAATGGCTAAGAGAAAGAACAACAACCCTGCATGAAATATGGTAGCTGAAGGATTAACTGTGGGGTCTTCCAGGACAGTTATTTCACAACAGCATATAAAACCTGTAGTTCTGCATAAGCAGAGCAAAAAAGCTGACTGCACTTTCCCTTCAAGCTGAGAGATGCAAGCCTGCTCAAAGTGCTACTTCCCACTTAGTGGTAAAGAACAGAAAATGTGTGTCCTTTTCATAAAGGATATATCATGTTGTTGGGATAAAAACAAAAAGAAACCAATAACCAACTACATGATTAGTAGCTTGCCTGGTTCGCTTGCTCCCCCGTTACATGCAATCTACTAAAGTTCATGTTCCCCCAAAAAGGCCCGCTTTATGTCCTTAAGGCACCTCTGTTCCCCTATTCCACCACTGCTGTGCATTCAGCACTTCAATATAGAGTGTCTGCTCTATTAGCTGAATAAAATAAATAAAAAGCAGCAGCGATGCTGATGAAGAAACTGATAAATTGTTGTTGATGAAGCAAGGGCAGGGTAGTTCATGCAACTAATTGCTTTCATTGAAATGTAATCAGGTTTAAATCAAGGGAAAATTTCATTCTTCAGTAAAATACTTCACCTTAATTATAATCCATAATATGATAGAGACTAAACATATGGATACTTTGCCTCTACAGCACTCGTCACCCCTCACAGAGGAAAAAATGAGATTTTACATTAAACAAATCCCAAAATGTAGCCCCATCATGCATGCTCCTGCAAGCCTTCACACAGGTGGCTCAATTACCTCCTAAAACTTGTCTACTATTATCTACATGAAGTATTTACTTATGAGAAACATCATACAAATGTAAAGAAAATTTAAAGAAAAACATTTTCTGTCTCTTTGAGGCTGAAAAGTTTTCTTCCCTTACATATATCCATCCACTAACTGAAGAAAACTAAGATATTTTTACAGTTAAAGATGAGCATAAACGATTTCTCTGCTAGTATTCGTAAAGAAAACACTGTTTTTTTCTTGACAATATTCCTCAAAACTTAAATTCCCAAAGATTACAGAACAATTATACAATTTGCTCCTTTTCAGGGTTCTTCACGTATACCTATGCTCACAATTGAAATGTCAAATACTCTCCTTTAATAAAAATAAAATACAATGAAAATTTGACTAATGCAATTTCTCTGAAATTACTAATTGTGTGTGCTTTCAAAAGTGTTTTTAACTTGGTTAGCAGAAGTCAAACAAAGTATATTTCTGACAGTAATCACAAAAGGGAATAAAAATAATCTGAATACCATCAGACAAATATATCAAGCGCTTCCCACTTGAAAAGCAAAGGACAATTTTAAGTGAACACTTACAGACCGACCCTGGTTATATACCAGTTTTACCGTTTAATTTTAAATATATAGAATAGATATAGTTAAGGTAAAAACTGCATACATTCAAGGGATGACATTCTTAAAAATAGCAGTACCTAAAACATCAAGTATCATGCTAACACATAAGGCAATATACATTACATAAAAGCGTCACAAGCTCACACGGATGCATTAGATTAGAGAATATGAGAAGAACTTTCTGCTATTTATTTCAAGTTTCAAAAGCAATAGCAAAAATTTGGTTTGCAGACGGGGGAAAATAACATACCTGAACACCAAAGAACTGCTCTGACCATCTAGTCCAACCCCTCATGAAACGCAGAATGATACAATGCACAACCTGTAGCCGCAAACTTAACTTGTGCTAAAATCACACCTTTTTTTAATAGGAACACAGGTAAACTCGATTTCAAAGCTCAAAGCAACAAGAATTTATGAAATCACGGGCCTCTTCTTTGTCATCTCAAAGCTCCTAACCCTGTGTCCTAACCAGTCTCTCAATCATGTCCAAAATCCATTTTGCACGGCTGGCAACTCCTCAGGAAACAAAGCTGCGGTCAGCCTGTCTGCAACTGGCCTCCCCACCAGCCAGAGCTCCTTACCAAACATGCACAGATCTTTGCTGCACAGGTTGCTCCCTGAAGAAAAACACCACATTTTCTTAGAATGTGAACCAGAACATCTTCAGCAAAGGAAATTCAAAGAGACCAGGTCAGTCAGACTAGGAGGTGTTAGCACACAACCTTCCCTGCCAGCTGCGCTTTGTTTCCAGGCATCCCTTTAGCCCTCGCTGTCTCTGCTTCTCAGTCCTAGCTCAGTCTCCCCGCCGCAGGCTACTGGCTGCCGCCTGCACCTCTCGCTCCTTCCTCCTCCCCTGCCCTGCTCAGCCTCCCCAAGTCTCTCCCCAAGCTGAACCTGGCTGCCCCCAGGCAGCAGTTACCTCCTCCCACAGCACAGCTCTAAGCAGAGGAACAAAATGGACAAATGCTGTTTACACTGAAATGCCAAACTGTTTCAATGAATCCGCTTCACTGTAACCAAACTGTAACCGTGAGCTTGCTAAAAAAAAAAAAAAAAGTCCCTTATTACACCAGATAGTTGTTTGATACATTAAACATTTGACGTTAGTTTAGAGATGATGAACAGCTGCTTGAAAACAAACAAATAGCTAAAAACCTATAATTCTAGAATTATTTAGCCTATAAGCTGCTACAATTTCAATGTGAACCACTATTCTTTGCATTTGCTGGAACTTCCCTGGTGTCTCTACTCAGACTAGAACAGTGTAAGTTCCTGTGTGGAAATCTGCTTTCTCCAAAAAGCATCCAATTACCGCAGCAAGTACAATGAAAGAGTACTTAAAACAACAGAAAAATAATATATCGGAATTGTCCCCTCACAACATCAATAAATTTGACTGAATAGATTCAAAAGCTCTCAGAGTTCAAGTTGCATTTGAAAAATCTGAACGGTTTATGATTAAATTCAGCCCAGGCTATGGAAACGTTCCTTTGATACTCATTGCTTCCTGGTCACTCACAAGTTACATCTGAACTGGACTTGCATCAGATGTCCTGCAACTGAGCTATTGCACAAGCGCACATGTAGCAGTGAAATGGCTATGGACATGATACAGAACAAGATGGCAAACTTACCTAATCCCTACCTTTGGAAAGCAAAGAACATCTAAAACGTAAGGATAACTGCAGGAGTGAGTGCTCTTTTGTTTCATGCCTCCTCAAGTTTCTGACTAGTTACTACAGTTCAAGCATAAACAACTGCTGATACCTGATCATTTTTCCAGATGCACTGAAAGCCCATGTCCTCTTGGCTTACTGCACATGTGCCTCCTCTTCAAGTCAGATAAATCAAGCTGCTCTCTGAAGTTGCACCGTGAGTAATGTTCAAGACAGTCCAGAACTGAATTCTTTTCTCTAGAAAGAAAAGCAGTAAGAAAACTCAGAATCCTATTGAACAAAAACGCATTGAAATAAATGTTCCTAATACCCATCCAAAACATCCTATTAGCATATCCTGATGTTATGTGGTACATTTAAATGCAGCAGAAAACATCCAAAATAAAGGACACCCTTTCAAAAAGAAGGGTGGAACCTAGGAGTAGAAAGACACCTCATAACATTTAGCACTTCCTTTCTCAGCACAGGCATACGCTTTATAATCCTTTTATAGTACAATTTCGTTTTAAATTAAGCAAGCAGCTCCCATAAAAGAGCTCACAGATTTCCATATTAAATACATATATATTTATATATCATTCTGGATTGGATTAGATTTTAAAATAACACTTCCAGAGAATCTATTAATGATTTTTTCCACTTAATTTTATGCTAACACTCCAAGTTATTTCCCTAATTTTAAGCAAATTTTAGGAAAAGCTTAAGCTATTACAATCTTCCAGCATAGATTACAACTCCCCATACCGTTATTTCTCTTGGTGTCACAAACACGCAGGCAAAGAGACAACAGATTTTGAGAATTCCAGGCCTGAGCCTACTGTATATTCTTCGCATCCCATGGAAGTCTAAAAGATTGCAAGACTTAGTGTGGTTCTTCATATAATTAGAAATATAATCAACACCTTGAACTACAGAACTGGCTGGTACCAGCCTGTAATGTGAGAAGTGAAGTACGTAGTCTTAAAAAGAGATTAGCTCTACCTGCAGACATTGTTTTCCTTAGATCCTTAATCACCACAGACACATCAACATTACTGCAACACTTAAAGAGGAATTCAGTAATGCTAGCACAACTAATTCTTTATATTCACTGCTTTTGTGGCAAATTAAGCAGCAAAGGCAATTCCACACTCCCAACAAGAAAGCTTGTGAACTCAAGGTTAAGCTACATTCAGAGCCTATTATTTGGTCTCCTGAAGGGAGGATGACGACAACAGCAATATACACGCACAACAGTCCCAACCTGCAATCACTGTTGACCTGTACCAGCCCTGTTTTAATCATTTATTAGCACAGTAATTCCCACCATCCTGGAGGCAATGCACCAACACTGGCCCTAGGAGACGCACGGCTGCAGTGAATCTGTTCAGCCTCCCCATCCCTCCAGCAGCAGCAGCAGGTGACTCTCCCCGTGCCCCGAAGCCATGCTACAGCTCTGCTTTCACACCGTGTTATCTGAGGCGATGCTCCTGGAGGACTTCTCCCACTTCGCTCAGCAGTTTGTAAAGAAAAAGAAAACCTCCAAATCAGCAAAGCTTTGCTGTACCTTCTCAAGTGGTCATTGGCACAAGCGGTGTTCTTGTAGGGGCTGGTGCCCACACAGAAGCATCGCCTGGCACCAGGACCACATCACACAGACATGTCCTGAGAGCAAGGTGGGGACAACAGGAGCAAGAGCACCAAAGACACAGCATCCAAGTTTAAAACCATAGGTTTAAAGACAGGAATCATGGACCTATATACACCTGTGTGTACACACTCCAAAATATATTTTCTTGCTTAAGAAAAAAACACTTAAGTAGATGCTACAGATGAAACAATAACGCGTAATTGAGAATCAGAAACATACCAAATCGGGAAAGATTGCATTTGATTACAGTACTGCTAAAACAGCACATTAAATTGGAGAGATGTTCTTAAAAAAACACCAGCCTGAAGCTGGAAGAATGCCGCTGGAATATATTATTGAATTTCACGTGAAAATTACAGCTTTCTAGTATTATAAAACATCATTTTGTAACTGCTAGCAAAGGTAGGAATTGTCAGTACCCTAGCGGAGACGAGATTTTTGGGGCCTGAGGACTTTTACCACCAGATGAGTTTTGTTCTTCCTGAACTTGTATTTACTACAGCTTTAGCACAGTGCCTGCCAGGTTTAACTTGAGAGATTTTATGCACCTGTAAGCCAATACACAAAACAAGGCAGTATCACAGACTTGAACTCCTAACAATGCATAAATGCACTTACGCCCTTGGTAAAAATTGTTATTTTTGTTGTAGAACAAATACAAACCCAATTATATGTCATACAGACAATCATACACACTGGAAACAAATTACAAAACACACCTGGTGGTTAGATTTTTCCACTTTAGGATAACCATCACAGACCCAAATATTTCTTTCAATCTGGTATTTCTCATCCTAACAGATAATCAGAATTCTGAGTATTCAGTTCAAACACCATCCCTCACAGATGTATTTTGTTTATGGAACTGAACAAGCAAAACATTATTTGCTTGTTCAGTTCCATAAACATTGAAGTTCTCCTGCTCATGGTGAAAGCCGAGCTGTGACTGTTAGCATTGTTCTCATCAGAGCTAGGATCTCGTTTCCCGTGTCCAGTTTAAGATCTGTTCAAAATGCTGCCCACCACCTTACCGTGGCTTTGCACTCTCACGACCATATCCAGTTCAAAATAAAGTATTTCATGCAAAATACATACTTACAGAGAAGACTGCACAAACAGCATGAAAATAGCAACTGGGGCCAATTTCTTCAGAGACTCAACTTTGTCCCCAGCCTGGCTACTCTCCCTGGGTTGATATTGTGATATTGTTCTTGTACAACACCCAGGCCTTGAAGCCTTGGGAAGTTCCTGTCCCAACTCAGCGAGGTGGGAGGGTTTGTTGTTTTAACTGCTGGCTGATAACAGCTTATCAGTAAGTTTTCAAAAGGTTAAACAACACATTTGCATGGGGGGAAAAAAAAAAAAGAAAAAAAAAGAAAAAAAACAGAAAGCACAAGGAAAATGTAGAATTCATGTTCTCCCTCCTGCTGCTGGGTCCCTCCAGCAGGAGCCAAGCACTGATACACCACGACCTGCAGTGCCATCCAGCAAAGAGATGAACCAAACTCCTGTTCAGAGAAACCATAACTGCAAATACCTCTGGAAGCCAGTGGGAAAGAAACAAAAACGCTTTCTTTCAAAGCAGGAGCTAGCTTTGCCTGCTACATTCACACCGTCTGCCTCACAGGGTGGAAAAAACTAACCCAAAATCTTTAAGTTTAGTCTTTGAATACAGGGCAATTTTATCCCTGTTGCCAAATTTATCATAGTGCTACGACAACTCACTGGGAAACAGAAACAAAATTAAGTCCTCAATTAAGGCCTGCTATGATCTTTGATTTCTATCCCAAGCAAGCTACTGAACTGCAAAGCGCGGATGCAACTTTAAACTAGGGAAGAAAAATAAATCAAGTTACAGACTTATTACTAATTCATCCTGGCTGAAGCCACATACCAGCAGCTGCTGCCTCTCTCAATTAACAGCAAATATTGAGCAGTATTGTCATTTAATGGTGTTGACTGCCTGCTGCCCTGTCCGCTGTCACATTTTGAAAGCATTCTGGCACAATTTAAATTAACAACATTAATAAACAAAGCTTAGTTTAGCCCCTGATGTATCAGCAGAGTTCACAGCAGGGAAGTACTTCACTCACTCCATACATTCACTAGGTGGCTGGCAATAGGTAAATCCCCAAAGATGGCAAGTGCCCCCAAAACAGTACTCGTAACTCAGCAGCCCACAGGGCTTACATAGAGGTCTGAGCACAAGCTCAAAAAGAGACAGGAGTACACGCAGGAGAGCAGCTCTCTTCAAAAACAAACACCAAAAAGGTGAAACAAAAGGTCTTGGGAAAACACAAGGAGGGTGCACATTCAGCCACTGCTGCTGAAGATTTGTCAAGAAAAAAAAAAACAGATGGGGAAATCAGCCCTGCGCCGTGATTTCTCGTGACCCCTTCTATGCACAGGGAAGTCCAATGCGCCCACAGCTGCACTTCCCCTTCCTACCCTCCTGTGCCCACAGCCACACAGCCTCTCGCACCCGCTAGCTTTAAAGCAAGTAATTATACAAACAATGCAATCAGAGCAAGCAACTGGAAACGATGCACTTCTCCCACGATGCCTCCGCAGGGACTTCAGTGGCCTACTTGCTCCGTGGGGTCAAGTCTGCTGGAAGCCACTTAGGTACAAGCGGATACACATACTTTGCATTTCGTTTACAAGATGTGTTCCCAGCAAATCAGCAGGCAGTGGCACCTCGGAGGCTCTTCCACGAGCTGATTGCCAACTGGGCCAAGGCCAACGTGTGACCTGAGGAGGTGAGGAGATGCTGAGCCAGCCAAATTGGACTGCAAGGTGCATGCTGGCAACGTAGATCCTATGTGAAAAGAACAAGCAGCTTCTGTACAGCCCTCATTACCGTAAAAACTAGAATAACACCATTCAAATCAATATTTATATTGGAAAAATCACTTATTTTGGAGGTAGCGATCCTTTGTACTAGCCTTTCTGCACAGGCAGCTGCATTGTAAGCACGGGAACTCCCCGGAGAGGTGCTCTGAGAGACCTGTCAAATGTACAAGAGAACAGCTTTGCAAACAGGCAGGTAAAAGCAGGCTTGGGATCCATCGAGCACTTTGAGCCTCTGCGAGCGCACTCTTCATCGTTTTGCTCGGTCGGCTGGAAGTCCCCTCATTTCCTCAGGTCTCACATCCGTACCCAGTGCACCTCTAACATCCAGCCCAGTTTGTTAGGAGGTCTCATTCCCTCCAGATTCCTCCGCCACCTTTGTGCTGATGGTGTCTGAGGTCTCCAGATATATTAAGGGACGTGACTAATACCTGCCATCCGTACATTGTTACCTTCTCCCTCTCCTCTCCTGGAGGAAGAGTCATCAGTGAAGTGCTTGTTCTACTCTATCTATTTTAAGAGCGTGGGTTTTTAGCATCCATGCAGTACCGTTTCAAGCTAAAAAAGGTAAATCCGAGAAGTAGACTACGCTTCTGCAGGGAAGACTGAACACTTGTGACATCTCTTCTGCAGGAGTTTTCTTCCCTTCTAGTGTGCCCAAGAAGCAGAGAACCACTGCCCAGATTTGTCCCCAGGCTCCATGCTGCAGATATGATCAGCCTGCAGTTGTGATCCAAGACTCTGAAGGTACCTGACT